TCATAAATTTCAATACCAATACCATAGAATTCCACGATAATTTACCAAGCTTAGTAACTAAGCTGTATTTGGATTTATTTTGATTATGTTTGAATAAAGATTGTTTTATTGTATTTTTGTACATTTCTATCCAGTCTCTTTCCTTCTCAAACTCAGAATTATTTCCTGATAAACATTTTATTGAAATTCCTATTATTAAATGAGCCTATTACATTTCTGTACGATAAACTCAGCTTTACCTGAATATACCGCACTAGTTACTAACATCGCGTGGCTATGTACATTAATTCTTACATAAAGAACGTGCATGTTATAAACAGCAACTTCATTGAAGCTAGGAGTTGGAATAGTTTTGTCTTTGAACGTAATAGATTAGTTGAGGCAATAGGCAATTAAAGTATGCAACTTAGAAGATAAATAATCGATAATGTTCACGTGAAAGTAATCACAATATGTACTGTTAAACAAAAATAAAGGAGGAATTAGTATCAGACCATTAGATAATTATACTGAGCTCTCATGTGGTTTATGAGAGCAGTAAAGGCAAATTTAAACTCTTCCTGAAACTGCTTAATTAGGTACAGACCAATAGCCAACATGAAATTTCACTGGAAAGCGACGATGGTAAACAACTATATCTGTATTAATAATTTCGTTTTGGGTTTACTTATGAGAGTATCCGAGCAAAAGGAGGTTAAACCCTCAAAGCAATCAGAAAATCGATCGAGCTTTTCAATTGTACCCTGAAAAAGCACAGTCGGTTGTGAGTAGTTGCCCCTCCCTGGAAAATGAGAAACATAATTATTTCTTTATCTTTCAGCATATATATATATATGTATTTTTTACTCAATTCACAATTTCACATTGCCCCCCCCCCGGAAACTTTACCCTTCCCTGCAAAAATTTCTGCGGACACCCATGCTTGGAGGGACCAATAACAGCTTTCCTCATAACCGAGTTTTCCATAGTTATTTTTCTCAGAGGCAGGGGAACGAGATAATTAGCTCATCAATACAGTGGTGTAAGTAGCTGCAAAGTGGGGGTGCTTGACTAAACATGTAGATTTTACAATGAGAGATTGAACGTATAAGGAACTGATGAAAGCAGCTTAATCTAGGGGGTCTGGGGGAATCACCCCCAGAATAGTAGTGCAATAATATAATTTAAAGTTGCTATACAAGTCAAATATGTAAATGTGGTGTTACAGCACTCCAGGTTCCGACGCCTCTGCAATAGCTCAATTATTTATATTGTTTTGCACATCCAATGCTTAGAATAACTCTTTGTGATCATGTACAACTTCAAACGAAATGGGTTTTATCACAAAAATAACTGTAAAAATAATTCGTAAGCAACAAGTTAATGTTAACCAGTACCATCTCAATGATACAGCAATGCAGCGTTTTCCTAACTTTTGTCATCCACGCCCCCTTTTAATACATTATTGTGACCCTCTCCTTTTTAAACGAGTTAAAGAGTGAGTTAAGTGATGAACTATAATAAATTTACATGTTAAAATACTAAATGTGTTATGATAATTACTTATTATTTCCATTAATAAAAAATATATATTTTGCATTATTGACTTCACCGTACACTTTGGGAACCGCTATAGTAATGTGAGCCGAACTTTTGATACGTCTAATGTACGAAATAATATTGTTTGTTTTGAATTTCGCACAAAGCTACACGAGGGCTATCTGCGCTAGATGTCCCTAATTTAGCAGTGTAAGACTAGAGGGAAGGCAGCTAGTCATCACCACCCACCGCCAACTCTTGTGCTACTGTTTTACTTACGAATAGTGGGAATGACCGTCACATTATAACACCCCCACGGCTGAAAGGTCGAGCATGTTTGGAGGGACGGGGATTCGAATCCGCGACCCTCAGACTGCG